GCCTCTGCTCCACGACTGGGGGAACCCGACTTCTCTGGAGGCATCTTCCAGCTCGGCGGGTGCACGCTGGTTTCTGAGGGCGGACGAGGAAAAGGGCCAACGTCCAGAGAACAGCTCAGTCTCGCATCGAGGACTTGGTCCGGCGCGGGGGCTGGAAAAGAGGCGTTTGGCACAAACCCGGAGCTCCCACACGGATGTGATGCTCAGTCAGGGTTTGCTCCTCTCGGAACTCTTCAGCAGAGCCGCCGTTTCACATCACTCACCCCTCAAAAGCCATCATCCCTCCGACCCGCGGGCCCTGGAGCTCAGTGCTCCAAGCCCTCCGTGGCCACCAGCTCCGAGCCAGGGCCAGGGCTCAACCAGCCCCCGGAGCGACCCTGGCGGAAACCACATCCCCCACCACGGCCCCTACGCTGCCCCGTGCAGGAGGTTGGGTTTTTTTTGGCTCTACAAGGTATTCCTCTAGTAAGACACAGCTTGGAAAATGGTGTTTATTGGTATTTATAAATACAAACATAAGGAAGAGTCCATTTGAAGATGGATAACTGACTTAAAAGGACACTGTCAAGTAGTTTGAGCTACCCTTAATGCTGTCACCCTGTTTGGGGGGGGGAAAAAATATCAAATAAAATAACACTTTGGGTTCTGTATTCTTTAGTTTTCCCTTGAAAACTGCTCTGTTACACAGAAATCGGTCAGCCAGCGCCACCCCAGCTTGTAAACCCGTTCGAGCTCTCCCCTGCCACAGGACCCACTGCACCCAGGGTGCTTCCCACCGTCGTGGGATTGCGGGTGCTGCTCCGGGGGCACCCGCCCGCTCAGTCCGTCCGTTCCCGCGGGAAGCGCCGGTATCTCCTGCCACCCTGAAAAGTGGAGGAAGTTCTGCAAAGGAAGTAGGGGAACGTGCCGCTTGGGGAGAGAGAGAATCCAGAGCGCTAAAGAGGATCTGAATAAATATAACGGATTAAAAGCGACCTACGGGGAAGGAATTGACAGTATCCTTTTAAACACAGCACACTGGATTCGCTCCCAGCGGACTGTGCAGCTGCGAGACTTTGTTAAGCATCTACAGACGGGTCGGGGAAATTTAAGTTGTAGATGAAGGGGGGACACAGCTCCGGTGGCACTACGCGACCCTCCGGACTGCCCGAGCAGCTCCGACGGCGGTAAGAGGGTTGGGAAGCCACACGCTGTCCTCAAAGCAAACCCACAGTGGAATAAAACCAGCCCCCGGGACACCGAAACCGCCGTTCCTCGTGCTGCACCCTGCTCTTCCCCACCGCCAGCTTCCCCGGCGCGAAGGTGAAGCACCAGCTCCTCGGCTGCTGGC